CCACCATTTTCTTGGCCCATAGGCTCCTTACTGCTTCATAGTCATCTCCTTTCCTTCTTCTTGGCCCTAGGGCTGGTCTGTTTCACAGGCCTAAACTCCTAGTCATAGAGTTCCTATTCTGACACTGAGACGATTTACTCCAAAAGTCAGGTGCTTAAAATTCTAACAGCCACATGGTTTATAGGGCTATTCTATTCCTGCTGGTTAGAGTAGGGGAGAAAGTACTTGAAGGGATATGGTGGAGAGCTGGTAATTTCAGGGGTTTTTTTTCCTATAAGAATTAACTTTTGTTGGGTACGTTTTCTTATCTTCTTGTCATTGGAAGGTTTTCTGAATTTTTGAGCTTTTCCATTGTGTTTTTTTTTTTGGGGTGAGGCAATCAGGGTTAAGTGACTTGCCCAGGGTCACACAGCTAGTAAGTCTCAAGTGCCTGAGGTCATATTTGAACTCAAGTCCTCCTGACTCCAAGGCTGATCCACTGCACCACCTAGATGCCCCTCCATTGTGTTTTTAATGTGGGGGTGGAGGACCTGCCTCCAGGAATGCTCTTACTTTGCCATCTACCCATTATTCTCTTCTATTAAATGAAAATGAGAAAGTTATGCTATCTATACCTTCAATCAAATCAGCAATAAAAATGGGGAATAGTATAGGCCAATACCCAATTCCTAGTATACTCTCTTAGTGACCTCTTTTAAGTTGGCAAGAATCCATCAATGACTAAGTCCCTGGGGTCTGGATGTTCAGCCAGTTTTGAATTCATCTAACCAAACTTTCATCTATTCCATAGTTTTAAAATAAGAAGAAATATCTTGCTTGAGTCTCGTAATTATGTTTACACAATTCCCTTGATTTATCAATCTAATAATTGTCAGAAAAGAAAATTAGTCAGTGTGGCATGAACTATTCTTGATAAAGCTATGCTGACTTTTAGTCATCATCATTTTTCTTTCTCTTTCTTTTTCATTTCAAAAAGCATGTATTAAGCATCTACAACTATGTGCTAGGCTCCCAAGGAAACTTGAAAAAACCCCTCAGTTCTTGTCCTCAAGTAGCTTACAATCTATCTTAAGGGAATATGACAGCATATAAATAGGTATGATACAAGATAAATATCAATTCTCTTTCTAAATGCTCAAAAACCATCCTTTAAGTAATACGTTCTCCAATATCCTACTTGTAAGGGATGCTATGCAGGAGTCCTTGTTCAGGTACAGCTAAACTACTTAACTGCTGTGATCCTATGAAAAGGTATCCAAAGGAGGTTTGGCAAAGAAGTATCTAGTTAAAAGCAGTTGCCATTCCCTTGCCTTTCAAAATATGTAGAGAGCAGAAAAGCGCCATGAAGTCTAACAGTTCTGTATATATACAGGAAGTGGAAAAATTTCTCTAACACTTGTGAAGCAGTAGAAGAATGGTAAAAATGTTTCTTTATAGCAATTCAATCTACTCCTAATGTAGGATAAAACTACACTAAATGGAAGGCTATTTTCCTTTTTGTAAATATTGACTAAGACATCTTGCTCAATACATAACTGAATGCTAAATTCAGTGTAGATGACCATCATACCCCAAAGGTCAAATTAGAATGAATTATCAGAAAAGCAACAGAAATAATGAAAGGGTTGAAGATTTTATTAATTTACAAGTTTCAATCTCACCCCTACCCCCAATCTGAGACCAACCTTTTGATTTGTATTGAAGTAGGCTTGTATTAGGAATTAAAAAATAAGGAAGAACTTTTGAAATGTGATGGAACAGAGAATAAAAAAAGATAAAACAAAACTCAGTTTTATGTTGTTGAGAAAGGGAAATAGAGACAAGAAATAACAGTTTTGTCTTTGCTATATTTTGTTTTAAAATAACAGTGAGCTAAAGATAGATAAGGGCAAGAGGCAAATAAAGGTGAAATATGTACATCTGGAATTTACTGAAATAGGACAGGTTAAATTCCTACTGAACAGAAGAAAAACAATTGAAAAGGTAGAGAAGTAGAAAAAATTTTATTTAAGAATATTATATTATACTACTAAAATTTAAAAATAATGTATTCAGTCTTCCTTCACTCAAGTCCCAAGTTTAATATCTGACCTTGCATAGAAGTGACTCTAGGTTCTTTCATAGTGTTACAGCAGAACATTATCTTTGGCAGATCCTACCCAGATGAAAATCTCAGCAGAAGGTTGACCAAAACAAGAATTTTTTTTGGTCAAAGTAGTTCATGAAGATAATCTATTAAGCTGTAGACGGGCTATGATTTAGTTTAGTTGAGGAAATGATGCATTTTTACAGTGGTTCTGTGATCTCATCAATGTGAGTAACTCCCTCAAAAAATGGAGACTGCAATCCATCCATGACCACTTGTATTGGAGAATTTTTTTTATACTGACCTGTAAATCTACATATGGCCCCAGAGTGGGTGTTCACTGCATTCTCTTGACATCGTATGGAAACCAGTGGAGCAAGTATGCTATCCATTGGTTATTCCTTGTGTTTTCTATATGAACAGTCTATCTTTTTTCTGGTCATTCAGTTTTTTGATGACATCCTTTATACCACATCTTCCATATGATGTAATGTATTACATCCTTCCATGTTCACCACACATACGATGGACAATTCATTGAGCTCATCTGTCATATAGGTGTTGGACATACTTTGCAAACAAATAATGAATTTGTCCCAGAATCAAACAGGAAGAGGTCATCAGGCTGGAATGGCTTCAGGGAATTACACAAGTCTTTTAATGACCCCAAACTTCTCCTTGAAATAAAGGTCCACATTCTTCTGATGATTTTGTTTGTGAGTGATTTATGAGTGATGGAATACTATAGTTGCAGAAAGGAGGAAGCAGCTACTCATAAAATCAGATTTTTTGAAGAATTACCCAGTCTTATTTTGTGATAGATGGGTAAGGTTTGTTCTCTGTTAAAAAGCAAAATGCTTACTAATTCAAAATAAATTCAGCATTTTGGATTATTTTATGGGGGGGAGGTATTAAAAAGGTGGGTAATACAGATGAGGAACCTGGATCTCAGAGAGGTAAAATGTGTCATCCATACTCATGAAGGTAGTGTCAGAGATGAGATTTGAATCATTCTCTCCTGACTTTATGCCTAATACCCTTCTTTTTTTTCCCCACCAAAACCCCTCTTATCATACCATATTGTCTCTTGCCTCTTTGCTGGCTTTTTTTTCAAAGGCATCTGACTTGGTAGAGCAAAACACAACCTCAAAGAGTGTCTTCGAAAAAAAGCATGCAAATATTGAATCATACAAAATTCTGCGATAGATGTATGCAGCCACATAAATAATTTTAACAATATTCTGATTATGTCATATGAGGAATAAAACAAGACATAAAAAATGTATACCAGGGTCATGGTGGATATTCTGAGCAAAATCCAAAAGGAAGAGGAATTCCCTATAAATGATTCTCTAGAATATTTATGTTTGCACAAAACACTGGATGATTATATCTAGTTGTACAGAATTGCAAATTAGTAGCTTGAGACACTATGCAATTGAAAAAAGTGAAATACAGAAATTGCCTCTTTTACAGGAAGATTTTTTTTCTCAATTTCTGTGACAGCATGTGTAGCCTCAGAAGTATATAGCTGTCATTCCATGAGGGATGTTTACGACCATCCAGAAGTCTGTAAAGGGCTGCTGTATGTGGCTTTGTATGTAATTTTGAGGGATGATAGCTGGCTTAGGTGCCTGGGGTGCAGCATCACAGAAGTTACTTGCTGCAGTGAATGTGTTAAAAGTGTGTGTTCAGAGTGACATCAATTGAATGGGGAACCTCAATTCTCATGTTTGTTAGTGTATTAATATTCAGAATATTATTCTTAAGAGCATTCAACCTCTTAGAGATGACTTTGTAGGATTTTATGCTTAGGGATTCTTGCTTCACTTATCAGTTGTGAGACCTTGGACAAGTTACTCTATCTGTTTGGGATTGATTCTCCTCATCCATTGTTCAAGTGATCCTAGATGACCTCTGAGGTCTTTTCCTAAGATCCTGTAAGTATCAATCAACCAGCATTTATTAAGTGCTTACATGTACCAGGTACTGTGCTAAAAGGTAAAAAAGTCCACGCTCTCAAGGAGGTTATATTCTGGTAATTAATGGATTAAATGGACAACATATTCTTCAGGGCCACTGTACACACAGGATAATATTATTTTGGAAGTATACAAATCCTGACAAGAGAATGAGGCCTTAATAAAATTACACTAAGTAGTGTGCAAAAATATTTCACTAATCATGTTAAATTGTTGCAGGGTGGGAAATCATAGAACAAATGTAGCCAAACAAACTTAGTATCATTTCAGTCAGGCAACTAAGTGGAGATTTGATTTGTTCTATGTGCTGTACATATAACGACATAGATCCTGGTTTCTGGAAACTTTTACTTTAATAGAATGATAAGAAGCTTTGGCAGACTAATAGCCTAGATTTCTTTAAGATGGACCATTCAGCTACCTTATTTCAATACTTTAAAATCTATAATTTTACTGGTGTGGATGAAACTGTCAATGCCACAGCTGGAAAGCCTCATAAGAGATGGTTTCATGAGTTTCAGCTGCCAAAAAAATTCATTACATATTAGCTAATTTACTAGTGACAAGTTTCTCCATCTATGTTGGGCCTTGGGTGGGGGTATATTGCTAGGTTTAATTGAAGACTTTTTAGCTTTAGGACCCTATTTTCCAGAGCTTCATGTGATGAAAGAGTAGGATAGGATACTAGTAGAGGTAGAAGAGATTAATTTATCTACAATATACATATTCTAGTCAATTTATTATACTATTGGATGCCTACACAGAGAATAATACTTTGGTTGTGTATATAGTTAGTAAACACTATTTGATAGTGTTTTCAGGATGCTATTAATGTCTTGAATTATAGTCTTGACAGAAAAATGTAGATGGTTTCTAATATCCTTTATAGATAGAAATTTGAAATTAATAAAAAATAGAAATTTTCTTCTTACCCGATTTTTTTCAGCAGCCCAAAGAAGCAATTTGTTTGGCTCCTTTTCCAGTTTTTGTTCTTGCATTTGATACCACTCCTCGGTTTCTTCATCCTGCTCTTCTTCTTCATCAGTATCATCAACCCAGAGGCTCTGAGTTCCAAGGGGAATTAGGTGTCTATGAGTTTCCAACAATTCCAGTTGGTTAAAGTATTCAGAAAAGTCTAGTGTCTTCTCTGGGTCAGATTTTCCATCATCATCTGATTTTTCTTTTTCATTCTCAATGTTTTCCATTTTTATTGTCAGTGTCTTTGAATATCCAGTGCTTGGGCCTATTTCTTTCTTTCTGTGATGAACTGTGGCTTCTCTATTTTACTCATCATTAGAACCTGACAACATAGGTGCAAAAATTATTAGTAAATGATAATGGAATCACTTTTGAACACAACAGTGTCACACAAGTATGAACAACATTAGCAGAGTACTGGATAAAAATCCCTTGACAGCCATTCTTTCCATAATTAGACACTAACATTTCAATTACCCTTACATATGATGATTACTAGTATGAATTCTAGTGTGGTAGAATTTTTCTAACACATAGTCAATATCTACATAGTATTTTAAAGCTATTATGATAAGTTTTGATATATGCTAAGAATTAGAAATTGTGACTGTTGTAAAAGTGATATGCCAAGTACCAAATATACCCCCGCCCCCAAAAAAGTACCTTGTACCAAGGTACTAAGTACTTTGGATAGTGAAATTTTAAAAGAACTAAGGTAATGTAAACACCACTGTACCACTATACTACCTGTCCTTAATAACAGCAGCTCACATTTATAAGGTGATTCAAGGTTTATAAGCACTTTTCCTACAATAACTATATAATGTAGATAGTATACATATTATTATTCCCATTTTATAGATGAGGAAACTGAAGCTCAGAGAGGTTAAGTGACTAGTCCATGGCCACATAGATAATACTGGAGTTGAGGTTTGAGCTAAAGTTTTCTTACTCCAAGATTATTTCCACAATACTATGCTGTGTCTTGTGGCTACCACAAGTGGCAATCACCATCATTTTGATCATAGCTGTTACTTTTATCTAAGGTTTTATAAATCTAAGTTAGCTGTTGTCCTTCCTTCTTGAAGAGGACCAAAATGACATCATTGTGTTGGGGTCAAGGTACAGGTACAGTGTATCCAATTGTGGCTGATCAGACTAATACAAACTCAGAAGGCTCTACCACAGGTCAGGCACAAGTAGTTCACATGAACATTTGTAGTGGAGATGTCTCTTAATCTGTGCATCTTGTGTTACATGTCACTCTATGTCTCCTTTGGTTTCACTATCTCACTCATGAAAATATATCAGGTGGTTGGTAGCTGTGCCTGAACAATGTGGCAACTGGGTATTTGTGTAAATTAGACAAAGAGAAAATATAATCCATATGCAAACAAAAGCTAAACTCTTTCCCAGAGTTTTAGAGAATCCTTTTTACCACAACCATAGCAGATAGTAATCTAATCTCTGACTGAATAATGCCAATGGTGGTAAGCTAACCACTTCACATAGGAGCACCACCACACTGTTGAACACCTTTAATTGTTAGAATACTCTTCTTTATACTGAGTCAAAATTTGCTTCCCTGTAATTTCTTTGAGCTATATTTAAATCTTAGTAGTAGGCCAAATTAATTAGTAAATGAAATTTAAAAATACTCAGACTATATTATATAAAGTATATGAAAAGTATTACAGAGTAACATGAATCTCACTTACATATCTTTACAATCTTTTATAGTTAACAGCCTTGTTAATCAGAAATGTCTGTCAACTATTAAGAACTCTACATGACCTGACAAGTTAGTAAAACCTTTCAGAGTTAGCACTATCCCTAATATTCTGATTTTTTTTTCATTTTAAGTATCAGCTTAGAGTTGTTCTTAGTTTTCCTTGTTTCATTTCATACTGTTTTCAGAAACTATAGTCAACCTATCTTCCCCTCAGTGTTAGATATATTCACTTACTAACACAGAAATGGTTTCCTGAGTTAAAACTTCTTAATCAACTCTGGCATACTCAGATCCTCCACAAAAATTTTTTTCTGATGCTTCACAGTGGAATGGATGTGATCCCAGGTTTTTGAAGACGATGCCACCGAAAAGTGTACGTTGTGGTAGATTCAACCAACCTAGAAAGGATTACTATGGTCTCAGTGATAGACTAGTTAATGGTGTGGCTCATTACCAAAAGGATGGATGCCAGATGATGAATTCTTTGTCCACAGCAACCAATGAAACAAAGAAAAATACAAAATTATACTCAGCTTTCTGAAGTCCTTTTTATTTCTCAGTGACTAGTGGCTAAGAATTGCAGTTTTTTAGATCAAAAAAAAAAAAAGATGAACTTAATTGTTGATGCTTTAAATATAGGCTCATTATCCAGTGCTTAACAAGTCAATCTATTAGTGGAAGAACTGAACTATCAGTATTGACATTATATATGAATGAATGAAACTAGAAGATGTAAAAATATTCTACATTTTGCTTAGAGAAGAGAGGAATTGGTGAAGTTGCTTTCATCACATGAAAAAAGAAACATCATTTCATGGAACACTTCTATATCTTGCCTACTGAACATAAACAAAAAGACCACTATGGAAATAACTGCAGGTTATAAATTATCATCTGCTGCAGAAGACAAAGAGAGAGAAATTCTTTTTTTTTTTGCTTTATTTTTGGTGAGGCAATCGGGGATAAGTGACTTGCCCAAGGTCACACAGCTAGTAAGTGTCAAGGGTCTGAGGTCAGATTTGAACTCATGTCCTCCCGACTCCAAAGCTGGAGCTCTATCCACTGCACCACCTACCTGCCCCAGAGAGAGAAATTTTACAAAGAACTCTGCAACATCTTCCCAACCAAGTCATTTTATACACTGATTCTTGGAGATGGACATGGAAAGTATTGTACAACGTCATAAAAACTGAGATTTACTATTTAAGAAATAGGACATAACTGATTGGGAATTATTCTTATCTGTGTCAATCAGATCATCAATTAGTTTTTTTTTTTTTTTTGGCTTTTTGGTTAAGGCAGTCAGGGCTAAGTGACTTGCCCGAGGTCACACAGCTAGTGTAAAGTGTCTGAGGCCGAATTTGAACTCAGGTCCTCCTGACTTCACGGCTGGAGCTCTATTCACCATCTAGCTGCCCCCATCAACTAGTTAAATCAATATATAACTAGAATAGAGATGAGAAGACCACACTTAGGACAATTACAACTATTCTATGATATGAACTACCTTGTAAAATAGTAAAAAAAAAAGAAGAAAACATTGTTGCTGTTTATTTTTATTTCCAACTCAAGTTTAACTGCAAAAAAGCAATCACTATAAAGAATAGTTCAAAAGAACCCAGAAACTGCCTATTCCAGTAAACAGTTTCCTAGACAAGGAGATCACAGTAGCAAAAAGCAACACTAATCTACTATATAAGTCCATGAGAACAGTGGAAGATTAAAAATTGTATTGCCTCAGAAAGTGGGGACTAGTAGTAGGAAAAATGAGTCTTTGGAAAGCTTGTTAAGAGATTATGCATGGAAATAAGCCAGATTGTTGCATGAAAATTTATAAATGAAACTGCAAGAATAATAGAAACAAAAAAAAAAACTGGTAGTATTTCTGCATCATTCCATTTTTATCTTCTGAGAGTGTAACCGCATTTAAACTCATAACATAGCACTTAAGAAAATGAAGTCAAGAAGAATAATTAAGCTAGACCAAATCAACAAAAATATGTAACTAAAAGTCAGTCACCTAGCTTTTATTAAGAGCCTGCTATTGCCAGGCACAGACTATGTTGAGCACCGGAGTATAAGTAGTATGGTGTGGTAGAAATATCACTGATCTGTTTTTGTTTTTACGTTTTGGTGAGGCAGTCAGGGTTATGTGACTTGCCCAGGGTCACACAGCTAGTAAGTGTCAAGTGTCTCAGGCCGTATTTGAACTCAGGTCCTCCTAATTCCAAGGCCAGAGCTCTATCCACTGTGCCACCTAGCTGCCCTGAAATATCACGGAGCTTGAAGAGATGTTTCAGTCTCACCTCACATGCATATTGTATGAACAGGGGTAACTAACTTAAGGCCCATGAGCTTGTTTCTTCATTTGTAAAGAAGGGGTGATAATAATACCTCTAAGTACCTACTGTGAGGGGTTTTGAGGCTCTAATGAGAGCAGGTACATAAAGGGCTTTGCAAACCTTTAAGTGTTACATAACTATCAGCTGTAATAGTTATTACCAACCCACTCTGCTACTTTCTTAGCTCCATAAAGTCTTTATGAGAACACTCTTCATACATATAGAGGGTACTATTGTAGAAAATATGAGAAGGGAATAGCCAGTCTTCCACAAATGATCTTCTACAGAAGGCTGCATCGTCAGTTATACAACTGATTGAAAGTTGATAAAAGAACACAAGATCCTGCTTTGTTGATTATGAAAGACTTAGAATAAAATGTAACCTTAAAGGCTCTCATGCAACAAAGTGTCACATGCATACAATAATATCTGCCAAGATATCTAAGTAGAGTAACCACAGAGGTAATTGTTTTTCAGTGATCCTCTATCAATATTTATTGAGGTATAAAATAGGAGACATACGCTAATCAAAGCTGTTTTGTCTCTGATATGGACAAAACCTAAATCGAAGAGGTATTGATGCTCTCATCTGAATATCATATTACAGCCCAGAATACTTTATGACCTCTCCACTCAAATGAAATTCAAAAGAGATCAGTTCAACAATGTATTCAGGAAAAAAATGATAAAGCATACCTATTGCTCAAACTATGATATACAAGTGGATAGGTAGTCCATTCAGTTAGATCAAGAGTAAATATATCTTGAATAGGTATGAAGATTGATGGTGAGCTGGTCCAGAACTGAATAGGAGGGAAAAAACCAGTTGGACAGCATTTGGGAAATTGTCCAGTGCTTTTCATGATCTGGATTTCAATCCATCACCTCACATAGAAATTTATCTTCAACACAAATAGATCTGTAACCACTTAAAAGAATTTAGGCTAGTAATCCACACAGGAAAAACTAAGTGGATGAGTATGGATACAGTAATTAACTATCCATACTATCTTCAATTTACAGCACTTGTCCATCAGTTTATATGTCTAGAGCTGACAAATGAACAAATGAAGTTATTTTCTACAGCAAACTACATCCTCAGTTATACAGTTGATTAAAAGGTGATACAGAAAACAAGACCCTGCTGTTTGTTGATTATGAAGGACTTAGAATAAAGTGTAGCCTTAAAGGCTCTCCTGCAACAAAGTGTTAGGCTGGGCCTAGCTGGGCTGAGAACTACAGAGCAAAAAGAGGGCTGGACTGCTTTCAAAGAAATTGAAGCAACCCCCTGCCTTTTAAAAAATATCAATATTCTGCTCATGCTGTTGCATAGATACAAGTCATGGAGCATTGTAGTTTGCAAAGAATTCAAAATGAGCATTGCACTGAAGGTAAGGAAGAGGTGCAGAGGTGATGCGAATTTGTAACAAATGAGGTACTTTGTAGAGATGGAGTAAAGGATGTTATCAGGTAAATGTGTGAGAAAAAAAGACTGACTTCTATGTGTGAAGGAACACAGCTAGAGAGTCCCAGTGCTCCACTGTAATCCTGTCCATCAAGGAAAAATGAGGAAAGCTCCCACCATGGTGTGAAATGCCTCTATGGTGGTTATGGGCAACATGGACAAAAGTAGCACAGGAAAGGCAGGCATGGATAGATTGTAATTTACATTGTTGGAAGAACATCTAAATCTATGAAGTTACAGATCCATATGAGTTATATCACATATATAGTTGCAAGTCATGAATACCACACTTTCTGAAAAACCATAATTGCATGTGATTCAAACAGCAGTGGAGATGCATGGTAGGAGTAAATAGGCTATAGTATATTACTAATGGTGACTAACATACAAGAACTAACATAAAAGGCATACCTAGAAAGGTATAACCAGATAATGAGGTAGGCCAGTTATGCTGTAAGAAGGGAAAACAGATGAGCAGCCTGAGTGACACATGGGTATCCAATGAATCTTAAAAGGCCTAGAAAAAAGATACTCTATGGAGAATTTATTGGAGGACACAGACAAAATTTAACTAGGATGAAAAAGCTTGAACTTTGCTTTGCACTGCTGGAGGGAATACCTACTGCTGAAATCTCAGATTCACTGAAGTACATTTAGCTAAGTATAATGGCATATTTCTGAGACCTGGTCAGAACTGCTGTATCAGTCTTCTGGTCTTCCACCCATATCAGGATTCCCCCTTTTCTCCTCAAAGCCTCAATTGGACATATGACAGAAGTGCATTCTTAATGGTCACATCCTTTACACGTTTAGCAAAAAACACAAAACATATATACAGAAAATCATAGTTTTATCCAGGTATCTTACCACCTCCTTGGTTCATATTCTTCCTTTGGGCTGAGTGATGTTGTACAGTCATTTTGTTTGTTACACTGTCCCCTCTTCAAAGTTAGATATTTGCAGGTCAGGAGTCAACTGCTACATAACCCTCATCTAAGGCTTACCTGAGTGGATTTTTTTTTTCTTTTAAAAAGATAAATCCTGGTATGTCTCCTTCTGTAATGTACTTTAATTCGTCAGTGCCCCAAGATAATTTGAGGGAGACGTAATAGTGGCTTTGAAATTAATTTAAAGAAACAGGTTTGGTTTGAGAGTTGGGTAAAATGAGGCAAACATCCGATTGCAAGCAACTACAAAGACAAGCAAGGCCTGGGTTCGAATCCCAGCTCTGCCCCCTACTACTGGTATAGCCTCAGGCAAGTCCCTTCCCTTCTTTAAGCCTCAGTTTACTAATTTGTAAAATGAGGAGGGATTGGGCTAGACGATCTCTACAGGGTTCCTTCCAACTCTAAACCCTATGACACTAGGATAGGAAGGGAATGAGGGTTGATGACCTGGAGAGGCGGAATTCCCAAGACTTGGGGAGGCCATGACAAGGCCCTCCGGAGAGGGCCAGTCACCTCACAAGGCTGGCGTCGGGGCTCTCTGTCCTGCAACAACAAACGGCGGCTCGGCCAAGGTCCCAGGTGGGAAGAGAGGAGGCGGAAAAGCTGCTGCGCCGCGGTCCGGCTTGATCTTGTCTTGTTGGGCGAGCGTACGGAGCCACGTCTCGACCACAAGCAAGTTCGTTAGGCGCAGAAGGGCTCCGAGGGTGCGGGGGAGGGGAGAGACCGAACCCACCCCTCCGGTCCACGCACTTCCGGGTTCTGTCACCGACTATTCTCCAAAGCCGAGCGGATTGGCTCTCGTTAAAGGGGCGGGGACTCGTTCCCAAGGACCTAACCACGCGCCCTATACCGCAGCCAACGAGAGCAGAAGAATCCGGGAGATTCTCGCGTGATCCAGGAAACATCGCGAGAGGATGAGGTGGTTCTCTCCTTCCCCGCTCCCTTCTATCTTCTTCCTTTTCCCGCCTGTTCTCGTCTGTGGAAGGGCAGGAGGCGTCGGCTTCAATCTGCACTGCCCTCGCGGCCCCCTTCTCCTGCACCCCGGGTAAAAGGCAGCCTGGATTTGCCCCCGTTGCCCTGTCACCTGCTCACCGCGGCAGGGCAGTCTTTGGAGGGCGAGGAAGCCGTAGGACCTGCTCCCAGCCCGGATCCTGGTCGGGAAGGATGGGTTGCCCCCAGCCTTCCAGCCCCGCCCCCAACCCCTCCGGGGTTCCAGGACTCTTTGGGCTCCCGGCCAGTGGGATGATCCCTAGACCAGCCAGGATCAGGCCTTGGAGGGGGAAACTTGTGGTCATCTTTGTTAGCTCAGCCCCTGCCATTCGCGTTGCCATCCATTGCCTGTGCGGGATCTCCTCTCCCCGCACTGTTTTCTAGGGTCTGACTGCGGGCACCTGTTGTCTTTGTAGACCACGTGTGTTGTTATTTACTGAGACTAAGCTTGAATCCATTTGTTTGCGAAGGGTAAATTTCCTATGAAATAGAAGGATGACTTTAAGTAAGAATTAGATAATTGCTTTCGTGAACGCAATGCAGTCCTTGCCTTTCAAGAAAAAATCGGTTATATATTGGAGGAATCCTTCTTCCTTCAGTCTGCAAAGACAGGGATTTCCCTTCCTCTGCTCTCCAAGGAAATGGAAATCTCATTGGAAAAAGATCCCCCATTGTAAAGAGACCAACCTAATAATGGGTCTTGAGTGACATTGAAAGTATACTTTTTGCTCTGTTTATACAGTATATTAGTTTTTTAAGTTATAAAAATTTGTATATTCTGTATAAATAAACAAGGGGCAGCTGTTTTAGTGGGATATATAACATTACATTTTATAGTTAAAGATTATATAATTTAATGTGATATAATGTGTTGCATCATGTTCACATATACACACATATACAAGAAGCTATTATGATTATTACATATCGTATGTATCATGTACATATATATACATATAGCATGCACACAGAAAATAGCTAATTTAGTGAGATTGCAATCAGGCCCCTGAGTTAGAGAAGTCATAGGTGACTGGACAAGTTACTTAACTTTTAAGTGCTTCAAGCACCTCTCTAAGCTAAGCATTGTAGAATTTAAGACATTTTAAATATGCATAATTAATTATTTTGTTTATAAAATATGTTGTGTAAATATGTAAATGCTCTCCAAATGCATTTTTAAAAATAATTTTCTTTTTTAGAACTGGCTTGGAGAATTTGAAATTCACAATAAATTTCCTGACCAGCAGGACCTTAGGCAATATTAGAAGCTACTTGGTGAGAGTGCTGGCCCCTAGCAACTGGGTTGAAGGTAGAAGAAATGAATTCTGCAGATACACTGTAAGCCTCAGTTCCTTCCAGAATCTTTGGGGTTTTTCTCTCCCAAGACTTTTGTTTTGCTTACTTAAGGAAGAATTACTTATGTGTATCGATTGTATGTATTTTGCTTATGAATTCAAATTTTAGAATATTAAACACATTTATTTCACTTTTCAAAAAGCTCATGGAGTCTTTAGTTTCTAATGCATGCAAAAATAGGTAAAGGGAATATGTATTTAATTGTTAGGTATGGATTGTAAAGTGTGAAACAGTGTGGTGTAATGGCTCTTTAGCCAGCCTTGAAGCCAGAAAACTTTAAGATTGTAAGTTACAGACAATGTGCCAACCTGCATTAATAGAGAAATTTTTTTCTCTAAGAGTTCCTTATACTAGTGAACTCACAGATCCTATCCTCCTAATGTACTATGTAGAAACTTCTAATTTTTTCCAGCATTTATAAATAGTATTGAGGTCAGTAAATCTCTGATTAATTCTTGCTGTGTGAGCACTGGTCTGAGTGCTGGGGAAGATATGAGGTTTAGATAAGACATTGCCCCTGTCCTCATAGAGCCCCTCTAATAACTCAGTTCTGAAGCATTTTAAAGTTTGCAAAGTGCTTTCCAAACATCTCCTATGATCCTCACAACAACCCTGTGAGATACATATTACGAATATTGTTACTCACATTTTACAAGTGAGGAAACTATAACACAAAATATTACGTAAGTGCATAACAAAGTTTTGTAAGGTGTAAGGCCATTGATGGTTTGAAGGCGATTATCTTGGGGTAGGGAGCAGGATGAATCAGGGAATGATTTCTTGAGAAGTTGATATTTAAATTGGGCTCTCAGTAGGCAGAGGAGGTAGTAGAAAGAACGTTCCTGATAAGTAAAAATGTGAACAAAGACAGTAGGAAATTGTAGGATGTGTACAGGGGTGGGGCCTCATCTAATTGGGTTGGCATTTCAGGTGTATGAAAAGAATATGGATTAAAACTGGAAAGTTTGAGAAGGACCAGATTGTGGAAGGGCATGAATGCCAGACCAAGGAGCTTGAACTTTACTTGCTAGGAAATAGCATTTTGAGCAAGGGAGTGATATGACCAGATCATAATAGTCTGGCAGTTGTCCAAAGGAAGGATGAGGAGAACTGAAGTTGAAATAGTAGTGAGGAGACTTTTTACAATTGAGGTTAATGGTAATGACAGTGATGATACAGGATGATATGTGGTGATATGATATGATATGATACAGTGGGTGGTGGCATTGGGAAGAGGCGAAAAAAGATATGAGAGACTGCAAAGGAAAAAGTGACAAGATTTAGCGATTGATTGTACATGAGAGATGAGAAAGAGAAACCAGTCAGAGATAAATTAAAGTTTTGGGCATGAGAGACTCGGTTAATAATGGTGCCATTAACAGAAATAATGAAGTAAGACGATGTAGTGTTTTTGGGAAAGATAATAAGCTTGGTTTAGTACATAGATGCTGACAAGACATCTGTAGAGATGTGTCTTATAGGTGGTGTTGAAATAACATTTTTGAATGTTATTTTCAGACTAACAATTAGCCAGTAAGTCTGATAAAAGGCAAACTCTCAGAGTGGCAAATAACAGTTTTGTTAGAAAATGGAGTTTAATTAATTTCATGAGGGATAACTACACCTGCAAGTGTTACGAGGACTTACCTGTGTACATGGCAAGCAAGCTACTTGGTCATCATTGCTCAAATATTTCGGAAGAGAACTTTTCTTGTGGCTGCATATTTTATTTGGGATGTTCCATATATTCAGTTCAGCATTTAAGAGCATAATTTAATCCGTTTTATTCATTTCTATAGCACCTACTATGTGCCAGAAACTGTGCTGAGTGCTTTATAACTATTAACTCATTTGATATGTTCTAATGACTCGAGATTTTTTTGGGGGGGGGTTTAGGCCGTGGGGTTAAGTGACTTGCCCAGGGTCACACAGCTAGTAAGTATTATGTGTCTGTGGCCATATTTGAACTTAGGTCCTCCTGAATCCAGGGCCGGTGCTCTATCCACTGCGCCACCTAGCTGCCCCTGAGATTATTTTAAAGTATGAAAGTAGTGTGCTAAAAATCTCTTGTTCTAAAAATTTATGAATTACTTTTTATTAAATTCTTTTCTTTCCAATACAGTGATGATGAAGATACTTTTAAAATTTTGGTTGCAACAGACATTCATCTTGGATTTATGGAGAAAGATGCAGTCCGAGGAAATGATACATTTGTAACATTAGATGAAATTTTGAGACTTGCCCAGGAAAATGAAGTGAGTTAATGTATATCTTTGGTGGAATTTCTGCTCTATTGCCATTAACCAAAGGATTATTCCTTCTGCTCCATGATATTCAAAGAGTGTACCTATGTGTTCAGCTGGCCTGTGAATGTTGTCAATATAATTATAGAGGTAGTTCAATTAAACACTTTAGAAATGGAGTTTACTATGTTTTAAAAAGATCTTTATAAGCTGTATAAAGTAGAACTGTATTTGCAGGTGCTAGTGACAAAAATACCTCTACTCATACATACATACACACACACACACACACACACACATACACATACACTTTTTTTAATCACAGCTTAGTTAAAATCTCCCTTTTTTTGTTTTGTTTTGTTTTTTCCTTAATTGGGACAATTAAGAATCTAATATTGTTCTCTTTTATTTTGGACTGATTACACTTTAGCATGAGTAATTTTTACTTAATTGGCATGTGCATTTTGGTTTTTTTATTTCTGATTGTAGAGGGAAAAGCTTTGTTTTTCTAAAAAATTTCAGGTGTCTCTGTCAGCAAGCAGGTGATATTTTTTGGGGTTGAGGGGGTTAGGAAGGTGGGTCAGCGAGATCCTGAAATTACACAAAACTTACTTGTTAAGTTGGCCCTAAAGATAAACTTGATTGAGTCCTTTAGATTGTAGTGGTCGGAGGTGAGGGACAGCGGCAGTGGTATCTTCTTGTAGGATTCTCTATTCTTCTGGAGAGGATATCGGCCTCTGCTGTAGCTTTTCCTGGAAGCCCATTGTCTATTGAGAATAGAGGAGTCAATATCCTTTATCTCCAGCTTATTCTAGGACCTAGTGCCTACCTTAACCTAGCATAGAACTATAGGTTAGTCCTTCTTTCCAGGTAATTGTCCTTTTCCCTTCTGCCATACACACAAAAATATTCCTGCCTGAGCGTTAGGTTAGTATCCATTTTCTCCATCCTTTTTCCAAGTCTGACATCTGTCCCAAGATTCCTGGATGCTTCATTTTATTTTGGAGTGCATATCTTGGGCTTTCTTAACAGAAACATAGTGTCCAGAATGAGGGAGGTAATAGTGCTACTATATTCTGTTCTAGTCATCTTAC